CGGGAGGCGCGGGGTCCTGCCCGCCGCGGTGCTCGGGGGAGCGGGGCCGGCGGAATGTAGCTGCCCCCGTCTGAGAGAAGGGGAAAAAGAAATCCTCAATGAGATATATATTTAAATGCAAAGCGGCCCGTTCAAACAGGGACCCATTATGCGTTTGGTGTGAAACGCTATCAACATTTAAAACTTCATTGTCTCCTTTGTACCAAATCCCTGTAAATCTTCCACTAGCCTTTACTCATTTTCATCTGAAAAGCCTGTTTGGGCTGAATAGACAGCAATCAGCAGCCTCTGGACTTCTCTCTCTCTCTCTGGAATGTCAATTAAAATGCAGATTTTTTTTTTTTTTTTTCCTCCCCCCCTCCCCTCCCCCCCTCCCCGATCTCTTAGTGGCAAAAGACTTGAGAAAAACAGGATAGTCCTGGAAAGCAAATGAAAGAAGTTCAAACAATGAAAAAGTACTGAAGCTGCCAGCCGGTTCCCATTAGTCCTCCAGAATTAATGTTTAATAGCTGTGATGCTCAGATTTGCTTGGAGATTGAACTATGATGAAAAGTCTTGTTAGAGATGTATGTGTGTGTATATATATATTTATAGACGCATATGTATTTGTGTGTGTGTATACATATATAAAGCTGTTAGCTTTAAAGCTTCATGTACCTGGATTTTTCCGATGAAGCTACTGGGCTTTTAGGGCGCTTGAGGTTTCTTTGTGGGGGGAAGATCCACATTTCATTCAGATTTTGCTATTCCCTGCCTAATAGAGAAAGATGCTGAAGAGTTATACAATGAGCAATGTATTGATTTGGTTAACATACTCTACAAATTGTACTCTCCCTGGGGAGTGATAAACATCTTATAAACAACAATGGAAGTAGATTAAAAAGAACACTGAGCATTGAATTTAATTAATGCCACTGCTGAACAAGTACTACTTGTTTGTGTGTGTGAGTGTGTTTAAACTGAAGTACAGCTTGGAGGAATTTGGTTGGGCTCCCAAACCAGTCTGCTTTCCCATGCCTGTCAGTTTGGCAAAGAAATTTGGGCAGGTATGTGACGAGGTGAAAATTGACTTGATGAGCGAGTGGCAAGGAGAGCCATCAATCATTGGAGGCTGACAACTCCTCCCCAAAGTGTAGGCTGAGAAGAGAGACAGAGTTCCCTTTCAAGGGGAAAAATAAACACTACGTGTGGCTTTCACTGAGTCTGAGACTCCAGGAGGGATTATGGTATTGTAGTCAGGAAGCCAGAATTGTGGAGGCCAAAAAGCATGCTGGGGCTGTGTTCCAAACATTGAGATAGAGGTACATAATTATCCAGCGCAGGAGGTCTTTCCAGAGATTCGTCCCCCAGCAACTGTGGCGATTAAACTATGAAAAGAATTTGGTTTCGTTTCATCTTCGTTGGACTCCGCTTCTTTTGGGAAAGGGCAATCCTTGAACCCTGGTTGCTGTTGTGGTGGTAAAAAGTGGTTTGGCTCCATGGATGGGTCCAGAGCTCTGATTTTTGCTTTGCTACACCTTTGCAAGCCACGGCTTTGAATTTTCTGCTGCCCTGTGGGTGAAGAGTCCCTTCGTTCTGCTGGCAGATGGTCAGGTGCAGAAGGTGGCAAAAATCTTCAGGTGAGAAGATGTGTGGTCAAGTAGCCTTGTGCTGCACTTCAGGACTTAAGACGAGGGTAGGAACCACAAATGTGTTTTCAATAGCATTTAACGTAGCCTAAAAATCTTAAACAGCTGAAATGTAAGTGGCATTAATGCTGTTAAAAAAGAGTCTGGAATATATGCTAGCATTCTGGTATGTTTTCTTTTTGCAAAATTATGGTTAAATTTTGCATTTATATACATAGCCTTTAATCGGGGCTTTACAGGATGATTTATGGAAATTAAATTAGCATTACATCCAGTCTGTTAATTAGCGTTTCTACCCGCTTTACAGCTGGATAAACTGAGCTACAGAGCTGTGGCTGTCAGACCGCGAGTCGGGCTGTTGACCTGGGTGGTAGAGTCCAGGAGGGCTTGCTCCAGTCCTTCGCCAAACACAAGCCGGTCCCGGAGACAGAGCTCTCTTCAGTTCTACACCTGCTCTGCGCTTATTTAGAGAAGTACTCGGCAAGCAAATGTTTTTGCAGTGGTCTGCTGGTGTTTTCACTGGAGATTTAATAGTAGTTGCTAGCTTGTGGTCTGGGATGCTCATGCTATGCTTAAATCTCTAAAGGAGGGGCAGAGCTTTGAGCTGATATCAGCTGAGGTGAAAAAAGCTTGCCCTGAAGTATCAGGGATTCACCTGAAATAATACGTATTAATTACTTTCCCCAAGTGCCGCCTTTGTCATCTGAAATCTGTTTCTACTGAGTCCAGAAGTTATTGTATATAGTACCCAAGATAAAAGATGCTTCAACAGCGTTTCTGTCCTTAGCACTGTGAACTTGGTTTGTATGTGCAGGTAGCAAAAGGCTAATAATAAAATCTGAGTAAACTTTTAAATGGTTGGCTTTATAAAGGGAGAATATTTGTCCATGTTTCTGTGTACTGTATGCTCAGGTACCACATCCAAATGACAGGGAGTTTTGAGAAGTTTGCCTTTATGCCTACTCTTTTGCCTTTTTTTGTTGTGGGTTTTTTTTTTGTTTGTTTGCTTTTAAAGGGTGAAGGCAGGAGGGAGGGGAAAAGTTTTTAATGTTATTTTTCCCTTCAAGACGAGTGCTCTCTAAGCTTCAGTTGGGTTTCATCACATCTAAGATGAATCATTGGCCAGATTAGAACAATTGCTGCAGTTACTTGTTTTATGCGTTTGCTGAGGTTTACCATCTTTTGTTTTTGAAGCGGAAAATCAGGTCTAATTTTCTGGTTGAGCTGTTAAATCACCCTGTGAGGATGTTCTTCTGACCCTCACCTGGCATCTTAGTGTGGTGGCAACAAGGTCCCTCAAAGGGAGTGCCACTTACTTTGGTACCGCTTCTCTCTTCCATCCGCCCATGCCTGGATTACCAGTTAACTCCATCCATTTAAATTAGTTTTACTGTGAATAAAATAGACTTTTTTTTTTTCCTGTCTAAAAATATATATCAATAAGCATTGTTGAAAGAGAGAGGGGAGAAACGTGTGTGTGCACACAGTTTCCATCCACAGATGAATGGAAAATGATGCTGGGGAGGTCTCCTGTGAAATTGCGGTTCCTACCACGCTTTATACAGATTTTAATTGCCTGTAACGCAATGTAGCTAACCAGTATCCCTGCAAAGACTGGAGCCTTTCACCTGTACAGGACTCTCAGGCTTTCAGAGGACACTGAACTGAGTCAGAAGTTGTTGCATCCATAGGGGAGCTGGAAGTCCTGAGGTGAAGTAAAGTTTTGCAGATTATCCAAATCTAAAGAGTATTTTTCAACTGTTTTTCTTGTGGAAAATTACTGAATTCTTGCAAATTCAGCTGGCTGCAGAACTGCCTAGGTGTGAAGGAATGAAAAACAAGGCGAACTTACATAAACGTTCAAACAATAACAAGAATATAATTTGTATAATTGTGGTAATTTTGTAGCATTGCAGGTTATGTGCCTGCACATGTGTGTGCCTCTCGTTTTTTAAAAACTGTATATTTTTCTGTCAGTAAAATAGCTCTCTAAATATGTGCTGAGAAGTGATTTTGTGAAAACAAGGCGGACTTGGTTACGCCTCAGGTGATGATGGAAACTGCTAACAGAAAATGAAAAGTCACTCACTTTTCACATATTCTTGAAGCTGGAAAACTATTTTTCCCATCCTCCTCCTCCCCTCCCTCTCACCTCGGCTCTGTTCGGGGCTTTCTGAAGTTTTTTGGTTTGTGTGTTAAGATGTTTTCGCTGACAGTGTTAAATCTCTCTCCTCCCCACAGCAGCAGCCGCCGTTCCAAGGGAGGAGGTATTACCCTGGCCGAAGGCACTGCTTTCTCTCCATGCTTCTCTAGAGGTGTTCAGATGGGATTAAAGTCCACATGGAGATATGGAAATGGACCAGGAATTTACTCTAAAAAGATGGTCGGCTGGGATTCAGGTTGCCTTATCTGCCTGGTGGTGGTCACCATGGCTGGACTTTCCCTGGCTCGACCTTCGTTTAATTTAGTTGTTGAAGACACCACGCTGGAACCTGAAGGTAAATCGCTCTAGAATCCTTAATTCCGCAAAATAAGTTAATTTTAAACACCTGAACGTCTGAAATAGAAGTCAACATCTTTATGTGCTTTGGTAAATCTAAGGCAAGTAACAGATTAGTCCTCAAGAGTTACGTTTTTTGACTTTTCCTGCTCACACATGGGCTGTGTTCATGCAAGCATGCGTTTATTTAATCTTATACAAGCAAGCGGTGTCAGTGATTTCACTTGGGACTGTCATCACGTTGTATAATCAAAGTGTACGGCTGAAGTTTTCAGGAATGGGTCTTTAAGGAAACCAGACTGTTGCACTTACATACATGTTATGTGTTGCTATCTCAAGGAACGAATTGGCTGTATAGCTGCGTGTCTTTGTCTCAACCTGAGAAGTTCAGAGAAAAATAAATCCCAGTAGTTTTCAGTCATGTGGCCTGAATGTTTAATTTTGCGAGGCACTCTGCAAAAATGGTGTTGCAGCTTTACTGGTGTTTGTATTTAGAATAAATTTCCCTATTGCTGTTAATATGCAAGAAGCATCGGTACAGTGTCTGGATTGCAAGTTCTGGAAGCGTAAATGCTGAGATCTGAATAGCAAGGACTGCAGCTTATTACTGTGAAAGCAAAGGCTAATTGAGACCTTTACATTGGAAGAGGTGTTTTGATAAAATCTCCTATTTTGAGCCTGCACCTGTTGGTATGTTCTTCTAGGTATATCCGTTCCTCAAGCTTTGCAAAATGGTTTTCTTCTCTAAAGAGCTGAGGAGGGGCTGCTTTTTTATTGTCGTGAGCTGATTGTATTTAAGAATGATTTTACTGTATTGTGTAGGGTCTTTCCTGCTCTCTGAGCACCTCAGGGGGAAAGCCAGGCTTCCTTCATAAGGTTTTATCTGTCCTTTGGAGGAGTGATTACGTTTCTAATAACTCAGCTGTCAGACCAATATAATAGTCCGTAGAGCATTTCTGATCCGGCAAGCTTGCTGGAGAGAATTTGGCCTTTACGCGTTCTACTACTCAAGTCCACGGATACAGCTTTGTTTTTATTTAATACGTTTTCATGCAAAACTTATTTGTTTCTATCCACTGCCTCTAAAAATAGACGTCACCAGCTAACACAATTTTAGAATCTGTTCCAAGTACATTTTTATTGATGGCAGGGGATGAACTATTTAGAGACGATGAGCCCTCCTCCGTAGCAAGCATTCCAGAAAAAAATTAACAAAGTTATAGCAATATTGTCATCTGTCAGCCATAGAGATTGTTGATAGCAAGGATTTTTGTTTTCTTTTCTTTTGAAGGTAACTCGAGAATTAAAAAAAAGCCCAACTCTCATCACCACTTACTGTATGATTTGTTAATTGCACATCTGGTGCCTTTTTGGCTTTTCAGAGGAATGACAAAGTGATGAATAATTCTGGTTTCAGATTAGTTGTTTGCAGTGAGGT